CCAGAAAACTTGTCTTATTTCTGCTTGTGCATTGTGCCTCAAGGAGGTGCGGCTTATTCCAATAAATTAAAATGATAGAAGTATAAACAGTTTTTTGCTTGATTTTGAAAAAATTCATTTAACAATGTACATACATTTTAAAAAATAGATCACGAAAAAAATGAAAAATGGTACCTAAAGCGAAAATAACATATTTTAAGAGGAATTTTCGCGGAAACCGCACTTCAAAATCTGTTTTCGTTAGATATGGAATTTTAGTTTTACACTCGGCACCGATGCCGCGCGGAAAAAAATCGATTTAGGGCTTGAAATTTTACAGCAAGGCATATCCAATACAGTAGAAAAACATAACTAGAAATGGGCTCTAATGAACTCTAGGGACCTTTTTGCCGATTTTGGATAAATCTCTCTGGGTTTTTTACTCTATTCGACGAAAATAGCCTAGCTGAATATTTAGCCTCCGAAGGCTGATGTTCTTCTCCTCGCAAACTGTTCTATTTGGATCAAAAAGCTTTTCTTTGAGAGAACTATAATTCTCTACGGAGATACTACGCAAAAATTGAAAATCGGATGCGTTTTTTACGACAAAAATGATCAATTTTTTCAGGCTTCGCGCGGGTCCTTTTAAGAAAAATTTAGGGACTCAATTCGGTAGTATTTAAGATATCTTGTGCGAGCCTTCAGGGCTTCTCTCTATTTGAACCTTCTCCCCCTTTGTCGAGAGGGACTTCCGGACCATCTACCTCTCGGTAGATCCGGCCTAGGAAAATTTGCGATGGGGTCGGAGAAAATGGTTCTTACGATAAAAAGAAATAAAATGAGATAGTCAACTATACCATAGCTTAAAGGAGTTACTCCTGTATATTTTAGGCAGGAAGAAACAAACAATTATTTCGTATCATTCACATAGAGAAACAGCAATATGACGCCTTCGTTAGAAGCTCGCTTAATATTCACGCCTGCAAAAGCGCGACTAATCGTGCTCTGCGGATGCTCTAGTTGCATACACATAAAACTGAAGGCGCTCTAGCTTTACTAACTTTCATGCATGGACAAGAAGAAATACGTTTTATGCTCGTATGACAGGAAAAAATACAAGTCTTTGTCCAAGATACTGGAAATTTATCGTGAGCTTAGTTATTTAGGCAGAGGAAAGGTGGGCGTTCGAAATCAGTTATGAATCGATTTTTTCTTGAAATGTGATTTGGTTCTCCTTTGCTAGACCTAGTCCAATTATTTTCAAGCTTAAAAGTGGATTATTTGAAGGTGCGAGAGTGGTAAGACGGGCTTCTTCTTGAGACCTCGTTATGACCTCATATTTTCATGGTTCGCATGATCATATAACCAACAATTAATGAAAAAGACCCACATTGATATCACGTTGACAAAATTTATTCCTTCAAAATATCGAGTGACATTTCTCTCCACGTCCCAATAAAATACATTTTTCCCTCAGGATTTGATACACAAATGTTTTAGAGATTACGATCATTTTAATTTTTATTAATTTATTTATTTTTTACACGTTTTTCTTCCATCAATAAAAATAGTGCTCTGTATAATGTTGGGTATGATTATGGTGAGTATCACATGAGTTCAGAACTATGCGTCGTCCGTTATCCTGAAAAAGTCCTCCTTGATTTTGAAACAGTTTTGACTTTCGGCTATCGACAAGATCATTCTACAGACTCGCCTGCCATCCTGAAAAACCAAAAAATAAGATTGCAAATGGTTTATATACAAAACCCTTCTAAATCAATTTCAATTTTCTTTCCCTCGTCCTTTTTTCCTCCTTTGAATTGAGGAAATATGGAATCTGTACTGTAACGAGCTTGTACAGTAGTTTTCGATTGTTGTAATCCTAAGGAAGAGCCGTCCGTACATTAGGTTCGCAGAAATTTTTCCGATAATAACCCATCACGAAAAACGAGTTAACAGAAGAGGCAACGCGTATTCTGCCGTGCTACGGATGAACGCCGTATGGACATTCAAGAGTTGCCAAATTTCCTTCGATAAAATGTTTATTTTTGAAGAAAGGTATTATTTTCCCCCCTTGGAATTCTCCGGAAATTTAGGTGAAATTGCGAACAAAATTATCTGAAAAATTGGGAAGAAATTTACCCGAAAATTCGTGATTTATTAAAGGAAATTTGGCAACGCCTGAAGGCTCATTCGGCGTTCTTTCTTAGCACGGCAGTATTCGGGGTTGTGGGTGCAACGTGCGGTCTATTTGGACGTAGCGTAGTTAATCAAAAGAAACTACATACATCCATTCTGATTTAAGCCCTGGCATCCATAAGAATACACGCATGATAGGGTTGATGGGTTTCAGGACATTCCGTCAACGATTTTTTGTCCGCGCACCTGTTTTGTCCAGTATTTTACGTCCACGCGTAAAATAAGCAACTGTGACTTGGTTCAAGCGTTATATTATAGTCTGTATGTAAAATTATATTCATAATATTGAAATGAGAAAATTGAGAGAGAAGGAAGTATTGTTATGGTAGCTCATTTTTTAAATGAAATGTTGCTTCCTTCTTTTGTTTGATCTTTTCTAATTGTCATCGGTGAATATTTGGTTTTATTTCTATCCTTTAAATTGATCGATAACACTTACCTTATGTTTATTTTACTAACCTTTTTTTAATATTTTTTTTTGGGGGGGGGGGGGGTATTACTTCATTTTAAAAACATTTACATTTTTGAAACTTGGAAAATATTTATAAAACCTTTTCCAAGCGATGGTACTGATATTTATCTTAATGAACTGTAGTTGTCTTGAAAGAAATTATACAAAAATGAATAAAAGAGGAAAAAACCAAGAAGCACGCAATCTTTTAATTTAGCCCATTTGTAAATCGATGTTTAAGAGTCAAATACGTCCAGTTTTGAGCATTTGGTTTCGCGTACACCACGATGCATCACATTAAAAGCACAAAATGTAAAAGAAAAAATTAAAGTGCTTTGGAAATCATTAAATTTGACTCAAAACCATCTAAATATTTACAAAACACACATTGGGTTTTCCTTTGTACATATTTTTTTTTTTTTTTTTTTTNGGGGTGATAGGAAAAATCTAAGGTCATATTTGGGTTTAGCAAGTCAAAATACATAAGAATCGATATATCAAACATCGAAATCAATTTAAATCGTATTTTTAGCACAAGAGTCCGGGAAAGGTTTTACTCAAAAGGCGCGGAAAAATCGGCATCATCGGAGAACTGGAGGGTGATAAACCAAAACCTATGTCATATTCGGATTTAGCAGCTTAATATACATGACAGAATCGCTTTACCACAGGTCCAGTATAATTTATCAACATGAATTGCAATTATGACAAAAATACGTCAAAATTGCTCATTTTCCCGGGAAAAAGTCGCTTTTTCGGAAAAAGAGAGGTGATAAGAAAAAACAAAGGTCATTTTCGGACTCAGTAGATCAAAATACATCGAACTAGTACTATTTAGTACCTGAAAAAAATTTTACCTACATGTTGCAGAGGTCAACAGTCGCAAAAACACCAAAAATGTCCATTTTTCCGGGTAAAATCGGCTTTACCGCAAATTTTAAGGGTGATGGACCAAAACGGAGGTCATATTCGGATTTACCGCCTAAAATAAATGAGAATAGTCTGATCTCGACAGAGAGACACTTTTGTTATTATTTTTATACATGTCTAAATAGGGTGGAAAAAATCTTCAGTCTTAAAAGCGCCAGAAATCACATTTAAGGTTAAGTTTCTCGGTCAGGATGTTAATATTTTGTTAAACTAAGATGTAAAATGAAATCAGCGACCCAAAAAACATAAGATCCAACACCTTTTATAACGGTGCAGTGCATTTTCGAATAAAGTTCCGTTAAATCCAGTCTGTGGACCATAGTGCGCCGCGGCGCTTCAAGCAACTATTTCGCAACCAAGGTTTTGCACAGTATTATACGAAATTGAAGGCGGCCCAACATATTAAATATGACAGCCATATTTTAATAGTGTGGAGCTTTCCTCCCAAAATAAATCAAGATACTATGGTACAAAAAGAGAGCGGTTGTCCAATAACTCACCAAGTCCTACCATCCGTATTTAATAACTTTTAGCATAATTTTTGAGTTTCATCAAAGAAAAAAGTGACTTAATTTAGGCAGAAACATTCTTGAGTATGCTGTCACGAAGATTTTATTTTGAACCAAGAATAAAATCGCTGAATGAAAGTGGTTGATGTGACTTTTCTTTATATATAAGTATCTCTTCCTCTTTAAACAATTATAAATGAAGATGACGTCAACTCCATGTGCATAGTTGCGTGGATTCGGAGATGGTGAGAATTGGAGCTAACCCATCGACTTGCGGCAATTGATAGACAAAGCTATAGACAAAGAGAACGAAGGGAAACTGGAGTGATCCTATTCGTGGAAGTCGGTGGTTGCATTGGACAAAGGAGGTAAGTAACAGACTAACTAACGCCATCTTACGAGAGAACCTATAGAGGACCTATATTCCATCATTTTCGTCTTTATGTGTCTTTAACGACCACTCATTTCAACCAATAGGATTACCCTTTTTCCCTATTCCTTCTTTATCTATAGCTTTGTCTATTAGTTTTCACCAGTCAATGGGTCAGCTCCACGTCTCGCCAACTCCAAATCTACGCGTTCATGCACAGATTGTCGACGTCATCTTGTAGTGCGACTCTCGAGGGCTGATTATTGACTTGATAGACAAAGAGGACGAACGGAAAATGGTGATACTCTATTGGTTGGCCCGCTGTACTTGCACTATAAGCCCTGGATAGACGATCAAATTCCGAACCAATTCCGATCAAAGTAGACATGCTGATGACTGGTGGTCACCACCTACCGTCAAATTTTGACGGGCCGCTTTTTTTGTTCAAAGTAAGATCAGAACGGAGTGCCACCATTCATCATTTCCCGCCACAGGAAACATTTCCGCCAAGTTTTCATTTTAAAATGAAGTAAATTAATGAGTTTAAGACTGATGACTCCCGACACTTTGATGCTACTTTGATCGGATTGGTTCGGGACTTTGATCGTCTATCCAGGGCTATAGGATGACATGGACTCCTCGTGCATAAACGCGTAGATTCGGAGTTGGCGAGACGTGGAGCTGACCCATTGACTGGTGGCTCCGTTGGAAGCGGGGTTCGGATCGGGTGAATCACAGGCATTAACATTGATTCTCTCTCGGTCAAGAGCCAGAAAAATGTAGCTCACGCGACTTTACCTCGAGTGCTAGCCGCCTGAGCGTGGCGGCCGCGGCCCCTGACGGGAGCGACGCCAGCAACGGCGGCGCGGCAGCCAGGTCATGGGCAAGATCGTACGGCAGCGGCTGCGGCTCTTCTCTGTCTCTGTCGACACCTGCGTCTCTGCGGGCCGAAGCCGAAGCCGCGGACAGCGCTCCTGGTCCCAGCAGACCGCTCCCGCTCCGCTTCTTCCCGCTCGTCCAGCCGTGCGAGTACTGGAACGTCTGCGCCAACGAGTCCGCCAACCAGATCGCCACCACCACGCAGATCAGCCACTGTCTCATCGGCATCTTCTCCGAGGGTGCCCGCCGCAGGTCGATCTGGAATCAAGGCCGAGAACGGATGTAACGAAGCGTGGAGTACCTATATGCGAGTAGGAGTACCTGCGTATATGCCTACCTGTATGGAGAGTAGGGACGTATCGAAGTATGGAGAGTACTGAGGTAGGGAGAGCACGGACGTATCAAAATATGGAGAAAGCGAAGACAGGAGAGTACGGACATATCAAAGTATATGGAATGCCTGGATGGGGAGAGTATGGACATGTCGAAGTATGGAGAGTACCTAGATGAGGAGAGTACGCAGTATGAACATGTCTTTCAAGTATGGAGAGTACTTAGATGGGAAGAGCACGGACGTATCAAAGTATGGAGAGTACTTAGATGGGAAGAGCACGGACGTATCAAAATATGGAGAATGCCTAGACGGGGAGAGTACGGACATATCAAAGTATATAGAATGCCTGGATGGGGAGAGTACGGACATGTCGAAGTATGGAGAGTACCTAGATGAGGAGAGTACGGACATGTCGAAGTATGGAGAGTACCTAGATGAGGAGAGTACGGACATGTCGAAGTATGGAGAGTACATAAATGGGAAGAGCACGGACGCATCAAAGAAGTATGGAGAGTACCCAGATGGAGAGATTACGGACGTTTCAAAGTATGTAGAAAGCGTAGGTGGGGAGAGTACGGATATGTCGAAGTATGGAGAGTACCTAGGTAGGGAAAGTACGGACAAGTCAAAATACTGAAAAAAAATGGTATCCTGATATAGCACCCAGGATGTCAAAAATGTGTCTGGTGATTCTAATATGCTGGTTTGATTGCTCACGCAGTTGAATTTGCATTCGCAGGATGTAAAATTAACTGCGCGGGCGGTGAAGGCAGCATCTTGGGATCGCCATACACATTTTTGATATCCCAGGTGCTAAAACAGCATAATGCATTATTTTTTTCAGTGAAATATAGGACTCTCAGGATTCAAAAGGACAGCGAACCTTCCTAGTTCCTATATGAAAAATACTTGAAAAATGCCGCTGCCAACTTCTAGATTCCAATAGAGTTTCTAAAAGTAGGTTAAACATTTGTCTTGATAAAAGAGGAAGAGAGAGGGTAGAGTATTGCGTCTTACCCTTAAAAAAAAAAAAAAAAAAAAAAAAAAAAAAAAAAAAAATTATTATTCTGCGATAAAAAAAATTTCGCAATCTTCAGAGTTGAGTCGTTTCTTGACTGAACGATTCAATTACACATTTCGATTTTAAAAGTCGCAAAACACGTAGCTCGATTAGTAAGGCTGAAAATTTTCAGACCTATTTGAATTATTCAATGGTAAAACCAAAAGTCTCTTTCTTGAAATTCGTAGTATTTTTTTTTTCATTTTGTACAGAATATTTATTCTATGAAAAGTTAAAACGATAACGCTTGCTAATTTCCTTAAAAAAGAGAGGAAAAGGGCACTTGAGACTTGTGTTTTTCAACTTTCATTACGATGTATGAAAAGAAGAGAGGGAAGAAAGGACCTAGTTATATCGAAAAAGTCAACTAACGAAACAGGGTGCGAATTCAAGGGGCCGCATTACCCACTAACCTACGTTCGACTACACCGTTGATGGGGTCTTCAAATGATACAACTATTCGGCCTCCTCGGCTAGCCTAGGAAGTATCTTCTCATTTGAAGGCGCTTTTCACGCGTCGTCACATTTCATCGAATAATAAATCATCTCAAACAATCGTCGCGTGATTCGCTAACCTATTTTAACATACCCTCGATTACGGCCTAAACTTTGAGAGCTATTTTCAAGCCTTGGAGTTGATTTTAGAGAAAACTAGTAGCACTATCGTGTTTCTCGCGATATTTTACGTTGGAAAAAGCACAAATTCCTGGCACGACATGCAACGGCTCCGTTCAAAGAAGCCAGCAAAAACCGCCGTAGTGGGCGATTTTATTCAAGTAGACTCATGTTTCCCTTGTGAATGGGAAATTCAAATATTGACCGTACTGGAAACAAAAAACACATTGTATCTAGAGTCCAGACTCTTAAAAACATCGACAAGAAAAAATACTCTTGATTCAATCAGGTTTTTGCTTAAATCTAGAACCAAGCCTCTTAATTTGAGCGGATTTCCTTTTGATTTAAGCAAAAATCTGATTGAATCAAGAGTATTTTTTCTTGTCAATGTTTTCAACAGTCTGGACTCTAGATCCAGTGTGTTTTTTTTTTCAGTGCGTGAGACTCCCAAACCAGCGCGTATCTCGTTTGCGGTGTTTAAAAATTTCCGCTCCCATTATTCTTTTTTTTTTAAAAAGCAAATCAGCATCATTTCGCAACGTTTTCACAGAATTTTCTTCGCACAGAGCAAAAAATCACGAACATTTTGAAGAATAAACGTCGAGTAGTTTTTCTTTTAAAAAATGAAGTATGCCAATAAGTCTGCAACGTCGCAAACTGAGATACGTGGTTTGGGAGTTTCACCACCGATATGTCGTAACCAATGCTAAATGGAAGTATTTATGCTAAAAGGAACTATGCTACACGCAATCCCTATGCACATAGCTCTTTTTAGCATGAATAAGTTCAAATAAGAACGTCGATATCATGATTGGTAGTTGTTATCAGTAATTTTCATTGCTAAATCGTATTCTACATGAAATTTTGATGAGGAAATGTATATCAGAATGCTTGAATTTGTACCTTGATGATGGTTTATAAACTAGCAGCACTATCGCTATGAGGAGTGTTTCACCGAGGAATACTTCAACTAGGGAGAGAACCTCCCAAAAATATCGACCTAATCCGAAGTTATGATGACTTTAAGTTTACAGTTCAGAACAAGCTTTTCCGAGGGAAAAATGTAAGGTTGTAATCCATCATCATACATATATAAAGACCAGGGCCAGATTAAGGGAGTGGCCACATGGGCCGCGGCCCATGAAAGCAAATTAGGGGGGCGGCAAATTTTGCAATTTTTTTTAAATGTAGGTATAAAAAAAAATCGGATCAGAAAAAAAAGTACAAACGAGAAAAGGCGTCAAAATCTCTCATTTTCTGAGGTATAGTGAGTTCTAATTTTGTCGTCTTTCGGTGATACAAGATACAGCACCTTTAATTTGTCGAGTTAAAATAGAAACCAAACACGCAATTTGACATGGAGCGGCGCGGCGCAGAGAGCAATGATGACGAAGACTTGAGATGGAAAGGAGAAGCCCTCAGCGCGGCGGTCGGCATGTAACACATATTAGCACCTACAAGACTGCATGAATACTTCACGCATTGCGTCAAACACAGTGCGTTCGTGGCGGCGCGGCGGAGGTTAAAATTATTAAACCACATTTCGACGGTGAAACTACCAAACCACGTATCTCGGTTTGCGACGTCGCAGACTTCATGTCATACTTTATTTTTTAAATGAAAAACTACTTAACGTCTAGTCTAGAAAATTTCTGGGATTTTTCCTCTTCGTGCGAAGAAAATTCTGTGAAAATTTCGAGGAATGATATTGATTTGGTCTACTTCAAAAAAATAAAATGTGACCGTAGATTTTTAAACACCGCAAACGAGATACGTGGTTTGGTAGTTTCACCGTCGATTTATGTTTGTTCTTGCATAATTTTTACGTTCATTTCTTACAAATAGAAGGCCTTGTTCACACAGAGATAGGTTTACGGAACTTAAGTTTCGCGCAAAGTTCCGAGAACTTTTGCTAGTAGTGTTGACAGGGCTTTCGCAAAAAATGTGTCCAACACGAGTAAACGCGTGTCATGCACCCCTCTCCCTCCGGAACGTTCACTTGATGGTTTTTATTGATGTTTCAAAACGAATAAGAAGGGGACGGCAAAATACAGGCGGCCCATGGGCAGCAAGTAGGTAAATCCGACCCTGATAAAGACTTAAAATCTTTGGATTAAAACGCAACCTTACGCTTTGACACTAAAATAGATAAATATCACTCGCAAGTTATTCTATGAAAGGTTAGAGTGTATTTTTCATCGAAAGCTCGATCATTACTGCAACCTCAATCCAACTCGTGAAAAAAAGTTTCTGTGACAAATTTTTCGCTGTCCTTTTTCCGTGACCGGTCAGACACGTTGAGAATAAAAAAACAGTGTTAAATTTTTGCAGTTAATGAAAAGCGACAAATTTGCCTTACCTGAAAACCAGCTGAACCAGCCCACACGCACGCACTCTGTGTGCAAAGGAACGACTATCGTCGCCTACGGAGAAGGATACTGAAGAAAATGGCCAAACTGAGTGAGCTTTTTAAAGTATTCATTTCTCTACTTTCCGCCAGTATAAAAATAATATAAGGGATAATTAAAGGGGCGCCGGCACTGTGCCGTGCTAAAAAAAGGGTCTGAACCTCTCCGAGCTCTCATTGCTTCAAACGCCCTTTTTATAGACATCCCCTCAATTTCAGCGAAAATGAGTGCATGTCGTTTTCCTGTCAACTTATTCCCGGAAAAATAGACTAATTAAGTAGCTACGTCATTTAACGTGTCTTGCTGTCCTGCCAAGGAAGAACGCCGTATGAGCCTTCAGACGTTGCCATATTTTCGTCCATAAAAATCCTATTCACTAGGAAAATTGTAGATATTTTTCCACAATTTTTCCAGACAATTTTGTTCGCAATCTTATCTAAAATTTCTGAAAATTTCAAAGAAAAAAATTAATAATTATCTTCAAAAATAACCGTTTTATTCGGAGCAATTTGGCAACTCTCGAATGTTCATACGGCGTTTTTCCTTAGAACGGCAGCGTGGTCCCGCCCTTAGAAAGCGTTGCAAAACGATCGACATCAAAACAGTCCATTTTTCTGGGTGAAACCATGGAACATTATAATGCTGCTGTGCTAAGGAAGAACGCCGTATGAACATTCGAGAGTTGCCAAATTTCCCTTGATAGAACATGTATTTTTGACAACATTCATGCATATTTTCCCTTGAAATTTCCAGATGTTTCAGATTAAATTGCGTACAAAATTGTCTGAACATTTTGATAAATGGACGTATTTCTATCAAACGGAACTATGTGCATCATGACGTGAGCCCTGTTATGCACATACCTACGCTTATGGGTCTCAAGGCTCATGTCTTAATGCACATAGTTCCGTTTTGTAAAAATACGTCCAAATAATATTCGCAATTTTCCCAGTAAATTCGGTATTTATCGGAGGAAATTTGGCAACGTCTGAAGGCTCATACGGCGTTCCACCTTAGCGCGGCAGAATACGTATATCGAACAACGCGATCGTTTAATCATGGCGGGTATTCGAAATTGGTACATCGATGGATCGATCGAGTGACTAATATTGTGTGCACATAGAGAACTTACATAATCAAACTACGATATCGAGTCCGGAACATCACAGTGCGGGCTCGCCATGCGTGGGCTCAGTTTCGTAGAGCGGTCTTCTAATTAGCGCTCATTTATTCGCTTTAAAAACGAAGGGAGGAAATCGCTACGAGACGGGGTTATCAAGAGCGGGCAATGTTACCTGACGCGTAAATCCATTCATGATCGCTGCTTTCATCTTTTCAATCTCAGTCTTTCTTATTTTCCATCATTTCGTGTGGAGAGAGGCGTCTCGCCTACATATTTTCTTTGCTGTAAGGTTTTTCCTCGCACTGGTTCTGACGTATGGTTTTTTCGGGGAGTAGATATTTTTACTCGGAGTGTGAATACACTGGCTTTAGAACGTGGAGTATATCTTATTGTCAGATGGACGTATTCATGCTAAAAGGAACGAGGGACGGGTGGAAAAGAAGGAGTATACTCGTTAGTATGTAAGAATTAATGGGAATCATAAAGCGCCAGTGACGTCAGCGGTGACGCCGCACTGTGGTACGAGCTAATAGAGAAGGTCAAACATGAAAGTTTTGGCCATAATTTCAAATTTTGCCGTTCATTTCGTCACAAGTTCAGGTTCAAGAGGAGTTTCTGGACGGAAATTTTATAAATAAAAACAAATAGGTAGCTATACACTTGACCAAATTTTTTTCACCCGATACCTAGTTTAGCCAACTACTTTAATCCAAGTCATACTTTGGCTGTGTTGCTCACGTCGCCCTGTAAGCCCCGCTGTAAATAAGACAAACGGAACCGACACAACATGGAAATAGAGTAAGAGAAAGAACTCGCTGTGATGACGGCGCAGAGATACAACTATTCGTGCTTGATGGATGTCCGTGTTGTATCTACAAGATTGAAGGAGCAATGCGTGTACTCGCAATGCTCCACTTTATGCCGCCAATGAGATATCGCTTGGATTCGAAAGAAAAAGTAAAAAAAAGGTTCGAGTACATCTCTCCTATCTTCGGCTGTTTTGCTAACGTTGCCCTTGAAGCATCAGTACAAATAGGACAGACGGAACCAACGCAACGTGGGAACAGAGCAAAGGAAAGGTCGTGCGTTGATGACGGCGCAGGGATACAACTATTCGTGCTTGATGGATGTCCATGTTGCATCTGAAAAATTGAAGGCGCTACGGCGCGAGAAGTGAGCTCGCGATGCTCGGCTCTATGCTACCAATGAATTGTTACTCTGATTCGGGTGAAAACCTATAAAAACCAGACCGAAAAACGTCTCTCCTATCTTCGGATGTGTTGACATTTAATTTTGTACTTTTTTCAGTTTGATGTCTTTCTTTTTTTTAAGATCTATTTGTAGACCTACATTTCAGTTTGGATGTACAAGCCCTATAGAACCTGCGAAGTATGTGTTTTCAGCGATCCTTGGGTCAATTTGATCCGGCTTAGGCATCTAAGGGGTATATTCCATTATTTGGCAAAATCTCAGCAGTTATACCATTACTTATAACTGGACTAAGTAAACTCTTGGTTCATAGAGCATGAATTCAAAAGACGCAGCGCCAAGGACTTTGCAAAAATTCTTACAATTTCCAGAGAAGACCATGTGGATTTCTGGGGGGTCGGGGACTCCCTCCAAGTTTTGCCTATGGCGTGGAATCCATTCGGCTCTGAATTAAGATCGAAAATCCTCTAGTCAAGACCCCGGAAGACGCGTGGCTCGACCGAGGGGGAGAGAGGGGGGGGGGTTGACCAGGGTCTAGGGCCCGCGGCGGCAACCAGATGCTCTGTCACCGGGCTCCGACGTTGGAACGAATCCCTGGCCAACGTCGGCGCAGCTTTCGCTTTTGAGCTTGTCGCCTGATTGTCAGCTGTCGCGCGCGGACCTTCGCGTTGACACGTTTTTTTCCCCGTCGAGTCGGCGAGGTTGGCAGCGCCGCCGCGTCGAACGACGACGAACCTAAATTCTTCGTCTTGAGTCGTTTAAGATTCCTCGTGAGCTCTGTGAACTAGGCTTGATTCGCTAATTTTCTGCCCGGTTCGCCGCTCTCACCGTTGCCGGATCGTCGCGAAAATCAGCGTTTCCCCCCGCGCGGCCGGGCGGGATTTATCGCACGATCCGACAACGTTGGCAGCACTGCTCTGCCGCCATGTTGGAGGCTCCTCCTCGATTTTCACTCGTTAATTGGGGTGACCAGACGCGGCGTGTGCCGACTTCCGATCGCGGAGAAAAAGGCTTCACCGTTTCAGCGGCGATTTTGCAAGTTGGCAACACTGTTTTTTCTCGATTTAAATCCATTAAAAAATATCGATTTAGATGAGGTTTGCCGAAAGTCGATTGTTTTACATGTATTTAGATGGAGCGAAACAGTGTTGCCAACTTTCAAAAATCGCAACCGCATCATTTTCACCTGACCGAAAACGACCCTGGCCGAATGGAGCTCTTGCATGTGTCAGGAATTTGCGATTTAAGTATTGATCGTACTTTGTGAATTCTTGCGAGAAACTCGATGGTGCCACCGGTTTTCTCTGAAACAAACTCCAAAGCTCATAAAAAGCTGTCAAAGTTGAGCCGAGAGATCACCTCTAAATCAAGCCAAACTCTCCATGCACAGATCACGAGCAAATACATTGACAAGGTTGCCACTTTGTCTGGGGACTCCAAAACTGAAAGCACGGCAACCCTGCTAATGTATCTGCTCCCTTTTTTCTGCACGGAGAGATTGACTAGATATAGAGATGGACTCTCAATATAGCGTGGGATATCCCCTCCATTACGGCCTTAACATTGAGAGCTTTTTTTTGAGCTTTTCCGAGTTCGTTTCCGAGAAAACCAGTGGCACCATCATTTTTCTTGCTAAATTTTACGCAAGAAAAAGTACTTAAAACGTAGATCCGCCGCACATGCGAGAGCTTCATTTCGGAGCAGATTCCAAATCTGCGGAAAGAGGGAAGTGGGAGCTTTTATTTTTGCAGTGCTTATCTTTGTTGAATTTACTTTTCTGGGAAACTTAACTGAAAAAATTCACACTTACGCACACAGCACATGTTACTGTTCACGAGTAAAGAGGATCGTACTCCACAAAAACTCAAGACTGAGCCATTGCTGCTAGAGAAACATTCTCAGAACATTTTTACACACAAAACCTAAAAATGACAAACCTAAATGCAATTTTAGTGGTTTGAAGTTTGCAATTCAAACATCTTTTTTTTTTTTTTTTTTTTCAAGAATAAGCCATTTACGGTTCTTTTTTCATTGCTTTGTTTTCTTGTGAGTTCAGTCCACTGGTAGGACGTACGAAACAACCAGTGGCGTGGCGTGGCGTGCTTTGCGATTTATCGATTGATCTGTCATTTAAACCTATGGAGATGGATCGATGAACAGGATATTCGCAGTACCTTACAAAACAAACACCTTAATAATCGATTCTTTACCACAGCTTATTCCAATGGGGAAATATCGACAATCGATCATTCACGCCTCGCCGCACTGGAAACAACTTTGCCGCTTTTGTCCATCTTAGATCATAGAAGGTAGAGGCCACAGCTCACATAGGCGACAATGTTGGTATTTATTTAAACCATCAGAAAATTATTTGGAAAATTGACAACGTCGCCCTACAAATCAGCAATAGTTTACTTCATCGATACAATAAGCAACGCTGGAATTAACAATGTAAAAGAAACAGGCAAAGCGCCCTTAGTTGGTGTCGAATGCGACGAAGACCGCACAAACATCTTAATTCTTGGATGCAACTATTCGGGCTCCGTGGATGTCCGTGTTGCATAAGCACGGAGATGAAGGCGTTTTGGCTGTCCAGACTTTCACCGCTTCACCTGCGGTGGCGCTGCGCTAACGTCGGCCTTTTTACGTGAGGATCCAGAATGACTGAGCGCTTTCCTCACACGTGCAACAT